TCTCGAAATTAATTGAAAAGATAATTGAAATGTTGACAATTTTTTTTAAGATTTTTTGAAAATAATTGAATTTTACATTGAATTTTATTTAAATTTATAAAAAAAAATTGAATTTTACAATGAATTTTATTAAAATTTATAAAAAAAATTGAATTTCGGCGTAGAATTTTGCAATTTATAAAGATAATTTGAATGTTGACAGGAATTTTTTTTTTTTTTTTGAATTTTTTGGAAAGAATTTTGACATTTATTAATATAGTTGAATTCTTTCAAAGAATTGCGTTAAATTAAAATTCAAAAAATTTGAAACTAATTTCAACAGAATTGAAATTGAATTCTTTCGACGATTTTTAATAAAATTTTTAAGAGTGTTTTCACTTTACGAGAATTTTGATTAAAATTGTATTAAAAATGATTGAAATTCTGCAATAAGTTTTATTATAGATGAAAAGAATTGAATTATTTCGAAGAATGATATAAAAAAAAGTTTGAAACAATTGATTTTTTTCGAAAAAATTTATGCAAATTATATTTTTAATTATTTTATTCCTGTGAAAATTTCATTATTTGAGAAAATAAATAAATAATTGAATATTCGTGTAAAATTTTGTCAAAATTTTTTTTAAATAATTAAATTCTTTTGAGAAATTTTATTAAAATAGTAGATATATAAAAATGATTGAATTATGAAACATTTTTTAAAAGAATGGAAATTTTGTCATGAATTTTATTAAGAATTTTTGAAAATAATTGAAAGGATAATTGAAATGTTGACAATTTTTTTAGATTTTTTGAAAATATAAATAATTGAATTTCAGCGAAGAATTTTTTTATTATAATTTTGAAAGTAATTGAATTCTTGTCATGAATATTGGTAATTATAAAAATAATTGAATTTTACAATGAATTTTATTAAAAATTCATTAAATAAAATTGAATTTCGGCGAAGAATTTTTCTATTTATTTAAAAAGATAATTGAAATGTTGACGAGAACTTTTTAAAAAAATTTTTTAAAATATTTGAATTTCTGGAAAAAAATTTATTAATTTTGAAAATAATTGAATTCTTGTGATGACTTTTGTTATTTATGAAAATAATTGAATTTTGCAATGAATTTTATAAAAATTTCTGAATAAAATTGAATTTGGGCGAAAAATTTTGCTATTTATAAAGATAATTGAAATGTTGACAAGAATTTTTTTTTTAATTTTTAAAAATAATTGAATTTGTGCAAAGAATTTTAATATTTATTAGGATAATTGAATTCTTTCAATGAATTGCGTTGAAATTTTTAAAATTAAAACTAATTTCAAACAGAATTGAAATTAAAATTTTTCAAAAAAATACTTCATTAAATGATTTATAAGTAATAACTTTATGGCAGTTCTTCAAGAATTAAATTATTTAAAATAAATTATTGTCAGAAATAGAAAAAATTGAAGGTTTTTTTTTTACAATTCGTGGTTATTTCATAGTTCAAGAGGCAAACAAAAGAGACACCAAAATTTAGAATTTTCCTATGAATTCTAAAAATTTAATTTTTTTCCAGAGCTTTTAATAAAAATCCCTAACTTTTCCCTGAATTCCCTGATTCCCCTGACCTGTGGTAACACTGAAAAAGAATAAAGAAAAAGGAGAACAAAATAAAAAGAAGAATAAAGAAAAAGGAGAAGAAGAAGAAACGAAAAAAAAGAATAAAGAAAAAGAAGAAGAAAAGAAAAAGAAGAATAAAGAAAAAGGAGAAGAAGAAGAAACGAAAAAAAAGAATAAATAAAAAAGAGAAGGAAAGAAAAAGGAGAAGAAGAAGTATAATGGATATGAGTTAATTGTTAAGTTAAGTGACGAGATAAGTTACAGGGATGATTTTGCGAAATACACGACCACAGTGATAAATAAGCGGTAAACAATAATCAATCGCCGAAGCAATTAATATAGTAAAGTTGAACTATGAGGGCGAGTGCTTTAACTACTTTAGTCATCGAGATATCGATTTTCGCGATGAGAGTCAACTTCAGGTCAAAACTGAGCAAACGACGTGCCTTTCTAGACCCTAAAGTTAACGACGGCACTACTCTCCGATTTCTCTGACACGGTCACGTTTGAACCCACTTACTCGTTAGCTTTACAAATGGTTACAACTTGTCTTAAACCACCATCGCCACAGTCACTCTCCTAATGCCAGACAATGGTTTCCTGTTACTATACTTCCAAAACTTCAAAGTCAACTTCCCTTCCAATGTTATTCCGATCGGATAACATATGTCTCAATATTGATCGCCAATCCCTACTATCAAATAAAATTCTTACTTTTCAAATTTTTTTTATATTCATCCTTTACTTCTTTTTTTCACTTCTTTATTTTCCAACGAGTTTTTTAATCAGAAGAATTATTTTTTTCATTCGCTCTGGTATTAATCTGCATAATTGCAATTTTACTATATATTTTAATTCTAGAATTTAATTATATCAGAGTTGCCACAAAATATTAATTTTGTTTTTCTCTGACTTTTCCCTGATTTCCAGACAAAATTTTCACTTTTTCCCTGAACCTGAAGAACAACAATAACTTCTTTTTTAAATAAATATTTCATCATTATTATTTTTCTATAGAAATTAAGATTCTCAAATTCAATAACTTATAATAAATTTAAGATGCCAGAGTGATAAAAACATTAATTTATACCTAATATAAGAATATTGTAACTATAAATTCAAATTTTCAAAGATTTTAATTTTAACCCTTTTCAAAATTCAATTATTTCTAAAAATTCACGCTATAATGCTTTTAATATTCAAATTATAATTTTAAATTTTAAGTGAAATTAATTTTTTAATCAATTTTTATTAGAAAATTCACCGAGAATTCAATTATTTAAATACAAAAATAAATATTTTATTCAATAATTCCATGCTTCTTAAAATTGAATTTTTATGAAGAATTTTATCAAAATTTTTAATAACAATTGAATTCTTTCGACAAATTTAAAAAAAAAGATTGTCAAAATAAATGCAATTTTCTATCATTTTATTTAAAATTGTATAAAAAATAATTGAAATTCTGCGATAAATATTGGTAATTATGAAAATAATTGAATTCTTGTAACGAACTTGATTAAAAATTTTTTTAAACAATTGAATTCCTCTGAAGAATTTTATTTGTGAAAATAATTGAATTCCGAAGAAAAATATTATTATTTATGAAAATAATTAATTTCTTGTGAAGAATTTTATTCAAATTTTTTTAAATAGTTAAATTTTTCAGAAGTTTTAAAAACTTTTTAAAAAATAATTTTAATTAAATTTCATGAAAATAATTGAAATCTGACAAAGATTTAAAAAAAAACATTTTTTTTAAATAATTGAATTCCTGTGAAAATGTTTATTTTTGAAAAGAATTTTATTAAAATTTTTTTAAATAGTTGAATTTTTCAAACCTTTTTAAAAATAATTTTAATTAAATTTCATGAAAATAATTGAAATCTGACAAAGATTTAAAAAAAAACATTTTTTTTAAATAATTGAATTCCTGTGAAAATGTTTATTTTTGAAAAGAATTTTATTAAAATTTCTTAAATAATTGAATTTTTTCGAAGAATTTTTATTTTTTATACGAAAATAATTGAATTGTTTCGAAAATTTTTACAAAGATTTTTGCCAATAATTGTATTCTTAGGAAGAATGTTGCATTTTACGAAAATAATTGTATTCTATGACCAATTTTATTATAATTTTTTAAATTTATAAAGCATTTTATCAAAATTTTTTAAAATAATTGAATTCTCAAAAAAAATTTTATTATTTATGAAAATAATTGATTTCTAGCGAAGAATTTTATTCAAATTTTTTTAAATAATTGAATTCCCATAAAAAAATGTATTATCTGTGCAAATAATTGAATTCTTGAGAAGAATTGTATTGAAAATAATTGAATTGTATTGGAAAATTTTATTAAAATTGCAATTTTATTAACTAAATCTTGTAAAGAATTTTGTCAAAATTTTTTAAAATAATAGAACTTTTAAAATAATTTTATTTAAATTTTTCAAAATAATTGAATTTCTTAGGACTATTTTTGTCAATTCTCTGAATTGAAAAATTAAAAATAATTGAATTGGTGCGAAGAAAGTTATAAAAAATTGGTAAGTAATTGAATACCTGTTAAATTTTTATTAAAATTTTGTTTAAATAATAGAATTCTTTTGGAAAATTTTATTAAATTAGTAGATATTAAAAATAATTGAAATTTTGCCAAGAATTTCATTAAAATTTTTCAAAATAATTGAATTTAGGAGAAGAATTTTATATTATTTATAAAGATAATTGAAATTTTGACGAGGATTTTAAAACATTTTTCAACAAAATTGAATTTATGCGAAGAAGTTCATCACTTTTGAAAATAATTAAATTTCTGTAATCCGTTCTTCTTAAAGTTTCTATTTAAATTCAAACAAAAAAGACACAAAATTTCAGAATTTTCTTAGAAATTCTAAAAATTAAATTTTTTCCAGTACTTTTAATAAAAATCCTTGACTTTTCCCTGACTTCCGTGACCAATTCTAATTTCCCCGACTTTTCCCTGACTTTTCTGACTTGTGGCAACCCTGTATTTGAAACAAATTTAATTCAGGAATAAGAAAAATTTAGTTTTTGCTTTAAAATTCATTTTGATTCAAAAGTTTTTAAGGTAAACAAAAATTCAAGGTTCTTGTTTTTCAAAAATCTTTCTCGACACCAAAAATACCAGGACTTTCGCAGTAATTCTGGAATTTTATTATTTTTTCACTACTTTTTAAGTTTTAATATAAAATTCCTTAACGTTTTTCAGATTTAACTGACTTGTGGCAACTTTGATAATTCTTATTATAATTTGTAATCATTATTTTTTTAAAAATTATAATCTCTATTAATTATTTTTTAAAAAATATGATATTTTTAAAATTATAAAATTATAATTATGTTAATACTAATTATTATGAAAATAATATGAGGAATTACTCACATATGATTGCCTGCACTTTTGCTTTATCAAGAGCTGGCTTAACGGGACGTTCAGTAGCCGTTCCTGCACGACTCCAACGTTGTCCCGTGACGGAACACGTCGCTAGTTCCGTAGGACTAAATAAAATTGCTGCAAGTCCTCTCGTTAATTTCCGATAATCGCTCCACTTGACAGCTCTTAACTGTTCTTCACAGATTGCTATTCCCTCACCCAAATGAACCTGTAAAAGATCATTTTAGACCTCATTAAAAAAAATCTTTTTTTAGAATAAAAAATATCTCTCTCAATACTGAAATAAAGTTTAATTATAATTTTACTTTCTTTTTAAATAAAAAAGAGAAAATTGTAGTATTGCGGTACTCGAAGTAATAAATCGGCCGAAATAAAAATTTTTCTACTATATATACAATATTATTGAAAAATTGCGGATTATTGAAATTAATTTTTCTTTACTTTGATTTTAATTGACTGTACCTCGTGCTTTAATAGTGAAAAATTCGAGTTGTTTTTAATAATTATTTGATTTGATAGAAAAAGGACGAAAAGTTCGTTAATTTTACGATATAATTTGGAGAATTTTAGAGAAATTACAAATAATTGCAAAAATTCACTTATTTTCAAAAGTAATAAAATTCTTCGCAGAAATTCAATTATATTCAAAAATTTTTTTTAATTCTTGTCAAAATTTCAATTATTTTTAGAAATAATAAAATTCTTCTTCGAAATTGAATTATTTTCAAAAATTTTAATAAAATTCCTGGCATAATTTCAATTATTTTCAAAAATTTTAATAAAATTCTTGGCATAATTTCAATTATTTTCAAAAATTTTCCACAATTCAATGATTTTCAATGTTTAATATTTTTGAATGAAATTTTCCAAAAGAATTCAATTATTTAAACAAAATTTTAATAAAATTCCACGCAAACATTTAATTTCTTTCATAAAATAATAAAAATTTTGACAGGAATTCAATTAGTTACAAATTTTTTATAAATTTCTTCTAGATAATTCAATTATTTTTATAAATACTAAAAGTTTTACAGGGATTCAATTATTTTCGTAAATAAAATTTCTTTTTTGCAATTCAATTATTATTTTCATAAATAATAAAACTCATTGCAGAATTTCAATTATTTGTAATACAATTTTAATGGAATTCCACGGAAGTGAAATTATTCTTTGAAAGTTTATTAAAATACGTCAAAAGAATTTAATTATTTAAAAATTTCTTGATATAATTCTTTATGAGAATTCAATTTTAAGAAACATTCAATTATTCAATAACTTATTTATTTTTGTATTTAAATAATTAATTTCAATTATTTTTATCAATTTTAGTAAAATTCTTAGCAAAATTTCAATTATTTTAAAAAATTTTCCTTAACCCCTTGACTGTTTGAGGAAAATACAACATGATTGTCCCAAACTGCCCAGCGGAATCTGATACTTTTTCAAATAGTATAATATATTTAAATTATAACTAATTATTCAATTATTTTCTAAAATATCATTAATGACCCTCATAATTTCTTATAATATTGATATAAAGAAAAATATAGTATCAATTTATTTACAAATTATATTTATTTTGAGTGATAGTGAACACGACCCACGGGTGGGTCGGAAACAGTTATGGCCATACTTTTTCACGACCCACCCGTGGGTCGGAAACAGGCAACGGGTTAATGGTTTTCAATATATCTACTATTTTAATAAAATTTTCAAAAATATATCAGTTATTTATAAACAATTTTAAAAAAATTCTACGCAAACATTAAAATAAATAATAAAAATTTCACAGGAATTCATTTATTTACAAAATTTTTAATAATTTTCTTCGGAATAATTAAATTATTTACATAAATAATAAAATTTTGTACAGGGATTCAATTATTTTCATAAATAATAAAACTGATCACAGAATTTCAATTATTTTTTATCCAATTTCTCGAAAAATGTAATTATTTATTTTTGTATTTAAATAATTTCATTCTTATAGAACATTCTAATAAGAATTGATTTATAATTGAATGATTAAGTTTTGAATAATCTCATTTTTTATATATTTCAAGAAAAAAAAATAATTAAATTTTGAAAGAATTACTTTGGTAATTTTTAGAAATAGTTAAATTTAAAAAATGCGTGATATTCAAAGCATTTGAAATATTTTCATTCCTGTTGACAAAATAAATAGGTATTTAAATATTTATTTAAAAAAATTATTCTTTTTTTTATAGAAATTATAATAATAAAGTAATTAGTCAAGTTTAATTTTTCGATAGCTACTTTTTTACTACTTTTTTTTGTCTTTAAACTACTTTTTCTTGCTTTATTAAAATTAGTTATCGATTACGAAACCTGAATTAGATTAATGAATGAGGGTCACTTTTACCAAACCATCAGTTCCAAAGTTTTGTTTTTCCAATTTTATTTTTTCCAAAAATTTACATTTCCAAACTGATTTTACCAAAAAAAAATTTTACCAAAAATATTTGAATCTTTTTCAAAATTTAATTATTTTTTCAAAATTCATGATATAATGCTTTTAATATTCAATTAATTAAATTTAATAATATGTGAAACATTTAGGTACTGAAATTCATTTTCCAATATAAAAATAAATAACTTATTGAGTAAATGAGTATCTATATAAAAATTGAATTCTCCTAAAGTATTTTATTAATAAATTTTTAAATAACTGAATTTTTCGACGAATTTTAATAAAATGTTCAAGAATAATTACATTTTTTGAGGAATTCGATTAAAATTGTATTAAAAATCATTGAAATTTTATGAGTTTTTATTATTCATAAAAATAATTGAATGTTTATAGAATTGAATTCTTGCGAAGAAGTATAATTTTGTAAATTAAACAACATGAACTTGCTGCTGGTAGTATAATGTGTTTTGTTTAAAATGTTCCAAAAACTATATTTGGAAATTTTTTTTTTTTGGAAAATATAAATTTTGGGAAAATTGGTTATTGGTAAATTATTTTTGGAAGAAAGAGATTGGGAAATAAATTGGTAAAAGTGACCCCCTACCAGATTAATATTACTTTTTGATACTTTACAGAAGTTGATATTGGAAATTAACAAAAAAAAGTACAAATTAAAAGAGACATAGTTGGCAGGATAAGTGGCTATTATTATTTTATGTTTTATAAAATTGAGAGCGTAGCCTTCGCATTCAATAGAAATTCGACTATCCAATGCATAAATTTAAATACGAATTCAAGAATTGCATTCGAAAGTACCTATGTAATTAATAACGAAAGTATGCATTCCCTTAAATGTTATTTCACTTGTGCATTACCCCAAAAAACAAATTGAAAGAAACTTCTTACTTGTTGTTTTTGAATAGAATTTGTGAATATCATTATCATATTGAGCTTTTTGATTCTAAAGAAGAGAGAGAGAAAGAGAGAGAATAAGAAAGTTTTTCTTTGCGAATATTTAGCTTACAAAGAGGATTTCGAAATGGAGTGAAACAGCTCCACAATAGAAACAAATATAAGACGAGAAACGTCAGGCAAGAAATTGAGATGGGATACTTTGGAGGCATGTTAAAATAAACGACAGCCCGAGAAAAGAGTGCCAGACACTGAAACAAATTCCGATATGCCAGCTGCTCATTCTCTTTCTATCATTACCTTCTTTTTCTAAGTCATCGATTTTCAAAATTTCAATAATTGAAAAAGAATTTTCAACTTTTGCAGCAAAATTTCTTTTAACAAATGCGGGCAATAGTTTGATTTTGAAAATTAAAGTTTTACTTATACAGACTTTTGGAGTTTAAAAAGTTGAAGTATTTTTGTTAGTCTTTTATTCAGATAAGAATTGAAAACTCATTTTCTGTGATGTGTATTTGCATATAAGACCAACTATGGAGATTTATCGTGGAAACAAGCAATTAACAAGAATTGGTTCACGTTTAAATTTTCACCGAAAAGTGGATTTTAAATTAAAAGTTCAAAATAATCTCGGTGAAGTAAGTTTTCATTGTAAAGTACTTTAAGTGATTATATTTTCCCCACTACTAAATGAATTACATTTTTAAATTTAAATAAGAGAACATTTTACTTAAAATTATAAATTAAATTTTTTCATAACTATAAAACATGAAGAAATCGATCATAAAGATAATTGAATTTTTTAGAATGATTTTATTAAGATTTTTGAAAATAATTAAATTCCTTCAAGAAAAATAATTAAAAATGAAATTGAAAATAATGATTTTTTAATAAACAAATTATATCAAAATCATTTTAAATAATTGCATTTTTCGCGAAATTCATTTAAAATTATATTTAAAATAATTGAAATCCTGCGATAAGTTTTAAAATTTATAAAAAATAATTGAATTCTTGCAACGATTATTATTAATAATTTTGAAAAATAATTGAATTTTTGCGATAAATTTCATAACTTGAATAATTTTTGACCAATTTTTTTTTTCTTGGTAGCAAATTAAAGGGGAATTATTGCTTCTTAAAATGTGACAATTGCAAATTTTTTTAATAAATTTTTGATACCCTGCGTTCCCACCCGCCCGTATCAGAAAAACGAAAATTTGAAAAAAAAATACAGAAAAAATTCATAACTCGAACAATTTTAGACCAAATGTTTATTTCTTGGTCGCAAATTAAAGAGGGATTAATGCTTCTTTTCATTGGACCAATAGAAATTTTTTTAAAACAATTTTTGATAGCCAGCGTCCCCACCCGCCCGTACCAGAAAAACAAATATTTGGAAAAAAAGTTCAAAAAAAATTCATAACTCGAACAATTTTAGACCAAATATTTATTTCATGGTCGCAAATTAAAGAGGAATTAATGCTTCTTTTCATTGGACCAATAGGAATCCTTTAAAACAATTTTTGATAGCCAGCGTCCCCACCCGCCCGTATCAGAAAAACGAAAATTTGGAAAAAAGTTCAAAAAAAATTCATAACTCGAAAAATTTTAGACCAAATGTTTATTTCTTGATCGCAAATTAAAAAGGGATTAATGCTTCTTTTAATTAAACCAATAGGAATTTTTTTAAACAATTTTTGATAGCCAGCGTCTTCACCCGCCCGTATCAGAAAAACGAAAATTTGGAAAAAAGTTCAAAAAAATTCATAACTCGAACAATTTTAGACCAAATGTTTATTTCTTGGTCGCAAATTAAAGAGGGATTAATGCTTCTTTTAATTAAACCAATAGGAATTTTTTTA